TCTTCTTCTGGATATTACACCTTTATCAGATATATGGTTCCCAAATATTTTCCTTCATTCTGTAGATTGTCATTCTGAATATATTTTGAAGAAGGTTTTGGCAGTGTTTGCTGATGGACCAAACAGAAGCTGGCAAAACTGCTAACGTACAGGCAGTGTGTGCTTTGTGGGCTCCCAAGGACTTAGCGTCACTTCACCAAGCACACGTGCTCTGTCTATCTAAGGATTCTATGGTGGATGTGACTTTATTTTCTACTCAGGTTCAAGGGTGAAGAGAGGAGATACAGGACATTCATCTTTTCTCTACATGCAGCCAACTCATATGCTATTCATCATTCTCCTTTGTGTCATATATTACTTTGTCTAAGCAGCTTCACAAGTTGAATGTTGTTTTGATTACTCATTGCTAATATTTAACTTAGAGGCATTTTGCATAATTTATCTTTAATCATAATAAATACATGCCATAATAAACAATTATGTGATTTATTTTAAATATTTACTTGGGGTTTATCACAGAATATTAGATTTGCTCACCATTTTATCTTTGGTGCGTAAAACAGTCTGAGCACTCAAGAAATTTTTGTAGAATGAATGAGTAGTGATATATTATGAATGCAGATTTTCTCTTAATTAAGGGACTGTATGAAGCAATGTATAATAAAAATTCAGAACTGTGTTCAAGTATAGCAAATTTAGAGCAGTTTTCCCCTAAACACTAAAAACGATATTGGAGTCATATCGATTGACAGATGTTATACTGATTTGCATTGTTAAAGCAATGCTTTAGAACTTATTTCCTTTTCATTCATTTATTAACTCTTGAGGAGCCAATGTTTAGACATGAAAGCAGTTTGAATTGAGGGGAAGTGGGGCCACTGGAGCCTGATACTGTTGCAATGAGACAAAACGCTAGTGTTTTATGCTGTAACGTCATAATCCAATCCAAGTACAGCAAAGCTAATTAAAATTTGATTCAATAGTAATTTGAAGAATTTTTAGTCAATCACAATGTCTTTTGGTTTCCTTTCAATTTAGGTTCTGAATGTGACACCTAATGATGGCTTTGCTAAAGTGCATTACGGCTTTATCCTGAAAGCACAGAACAAGATTGCAGAGAGCATTCCCTACTTAAAGGTAACTGTCACTGCCCGTGCTCTGATTCCTCTGACTGATCTGGACACCCTTGATTCCACATTGTGGATTAATTAGCATGCACTGCTGAGTCATTTCACATCAACATGGACACCCTCTGACCATGACATCTATATAAAGTAGGGATTCCCCCACAGTAGAGAGCATCATGTGCAGAAATACCAACCCTGTGAGCAGAGACTATTTGGAAGAGGCTTTATGAAGGAATGCCTAAAACTGCAGTTATTTTGCCTAAAACTGCAGTTATTTTTAGTTTTTTCTCTTGTTAAATGACAAAGATAGAGAAGAATTATTGATACAATACTTAAAGTTTGGACAATGAATTAAATGTTCCTTTTACAAATGACTTAGGACTTGAGTCTACTTTGAACAGGGATCATGGCTACCCATGTAAAGTGAGGTATCAAATGCAAACGCACAGGTCAAACCCAGAAAGCCTCATAGCTCAAAATGTT